TTCGTGTCTCTGTGTCGTCGTTTTATTCTCGCGCTATAACTATTGTCATGCCATACCAACTAGCCCAAGCTGCCACACTTCTAAGTGCTTGTGTAGGTGAGTCATTTGCGATGGCGTGCAACTGTTGCTACTTTCACGAAGACAGCTTTGTCTGAGGATGAGACACGGGCGCAAAAGTAACATATGTATGTTGTTTCACAAATCTCCCAATGATCACTGCCGCCGCCACTGATCGCTGTATAGTTTGATTTCTCGTGTAGCGGCGCACCACCTATGTGACTGTGAGCGTAAGTACACTCGCTCAAGATGCACCGTACACTTAACTATGCTCTCTCCCCTCCCTTGTACCGTTCATTGTGCTCTAATATTCCAGGCGATGATGTATTGAAACGAGTGTCTATATAAATGCCGTCTGTGTAGTGTGCCTTCAGCAAGCACCGAAAAAAGGTTTGGTCATAATTCGTTACACCATACGTTATCTTTTACCAACACCGCTTGGTGAAGAGCCATATGATATGTTTTTCCTCATGGTATACACAGCTGATGGAAGATTCCTATGCAAGACCGTAATGCGGGACACACCCCTTATCAAGTATGCACTTTATTCGAATGAGATATTAAATGCGAAGCATTTCCCAGCGAACTTCGGGGACTTTGAGCGTATCTATCTGTCTGTCCATCCGTGCGTCCGCGCACGACTTCTAGCTCTTCTGGTCGTTTCGATAATCGTATCGTAACGAAACTTGGTATGGCATAACGTGACCGTATGAAGAACATATTTGACTTTAACATACGTGCTTACAAGCCCAAATACTTGAATATAAAACACTTACGTTTGTTTGCATACTTTACAAAATAGCTCGCTGATGGAGGTGCACTCCGTTCGATTAACGATTCTTAACTTTAAAAATGCCCTTTCAAAGTCGGACCTTTTAGATGCGGAGCATCTAATACTCGAGGCTTGTAGTGCGGCGCCGTCCGCAAGCTTCCTCCTCCTTCTTTCACCATCTGTGCATCCCTTCCTCCTCTACACAACGCGCGCGCTTCACTCCTCCACCATCTGTGCACCCTTCCTCCTCTACACACCGCGTGCGCTTCTCCTCTTCACGAACATTCGCTAGCTGTATAATGTAGCGCGCATGCGCCGTCACGCTTTCGAGAACATCGGCAGCTGACGCGCGCGCATGCGCCGTCGCGCTTCGAGAACATCGGCAGCTGACGCGCGCGCATGCGCCGTTGCGCTTCTCCCCCTTCTCGAACATTCGACAGCTGACAGTGCATGCGCCGTCGCGCTGTATATATACTCAAGGTCGGCGCTCGCTCGCTCAGTTGCCGCTCAGTCGGTTGGTTTGTTACGGCGCGTTCGACGTCCAAGGTCGCAGGTGAAATGAATTCCAACGAATCCACAAACACAATGATCGACGTCCCTTCGACCAGCGCCGCCCTTTCGCATACGTGTGTACGTGTTCACTCTCACTTTACACACCCCTCCTACACCACGTTAACCAATTTAGCCATCGACCCAAGTAAGTCGCAATTTAACACCCCATTTCACAACCACGTTACCAATTTAAGCCATCGACCCAAGTAAGTCGCACTTTAAACACCCCTTTAACCAATTATAGCTCCGCATCCTCCTCAGTGGTTCCCCCGAGGGAAGCTGCGGGCAATTTTTTTGATAAATCCGATCACCAGAAATTTTACCGGCGAGGTATTAATAAATTTTTTTTCAGATTTATCCAAGAACACGAGCCCTACCCGATATAAAAGCGCTAATTCGGCGGTGTGCCCCCTTGGAAGAGTACATAGTCCGATCAATTGTGATGCCTCGATTATATATCCTGTGGGCGCAAAACGATAACCAAATTCGAATCCAAGTTCTACGGAACGACTCCATCTTCAGTAAAAAAAGCTGCTAACATAGCAGTTTTTTGCTCTCATCCTGCGTGTTTTTTTTTGGTCCACGATTTTGTGAGAAAATGCTTATAAACTGAAACTAAACGCTGTTTCTGCATGTGGGCACCACGGACATCCTGAAGACGAACTCTTCAAGATCACTGGATTCGTTGAGGGAGGCCTTGAAGCGAATGAGGCAGATGCGCCCGAACATCAAGGCACTGCATCTTAGTTTGCCACTACCTCGCGCACCCAATCGCCGACGGCGGGACTCGAACTGGCGATCAATGAATCGGTTTAATATGGAGGTGCAGCGATTCAACAGAGAGGCCCGCCGTCTCTGCCACTACGGGTTGTTGGGAGCAGGCGTCTATTACGTCTATATATATATATATAATATATATATATATAATATATATATATATATAATATATATATATATATATAATATATATATATATATATATATATATATATATATATATATATATATATATATATATATATATATATATATATATATATATATATATATGAGTACCTGCCTTACCTGAACCATGGCTGCCAGTACATCATCAACGGAGCGTTTGTCGCGGAGATATCCAAATTACCCTACGAAGTGTGCCGTCATCGGGGACTCAATCATGCGGTACGTCCACACCCACTTCAGCCCGAACGACTCATCGACGCCGTGCTTCATCTCCTATGGTGGCGCTATGTTTTCGGACATTCCGGCGCTACTTGAGTACCTGCCTTACCGGGTGGACACGCTGTTTCTGCATGTGGGCACCACGGACATCCTGAAGACGAACTCTTCAAGATCACTGGATTCGTTGAGGGAGGCCTTGAAGCGAATGAGGCAGATGCGCCCGAACATCAAGACACTGCATCTTAGTCTGCCACTACCTCGCGCACCCAATCGCCGACGGCGGGACTCGAACTGGCGATCAATGAATCGGTTTAATATGGAGGTGCAGCGATTCAACAGAGAGGCCCGCCGTCTCTGCCACTACGGGTTGTTGGGAGCAGGCGTCTATTACGTCTATATATATATATATATATATATATATATATCTATATATATATATATATATATATATATATATATATGTGCTTCGGCAAAACACATGTACCACACGAATTGGGCAGGACTCCCCATTCAACACTAGTCGATTAAAATTGAAGGGGACACAAGGGTGCGAACCAGCTTGTCAGAATAAATCAGGGCTTCAGTGGATGCATGTCTGGTCGGGAAGAATCACTGAATTTAAAAGGAAGACGCCGTCTATGAGAGAATATAAAAAATGTAATAAAAATATAAACGTCTTATGACATTTTTATATTCTCTTGTGGATGGCGTCTTCGTTTTTTTATTCAACCATTTCAGATCGCACACGAAATGCCTAGCGTAAGCAGCAAGCCTTACGAGACGTCACGAAACAGGGGCTACAACTTCCCTTAACTTTTCAGTGTGGCGTGGCAAGGAAGCGCTGAACATTCCGCTCCTTACTGCTTGCGTCTATGACTCGAAGATTTGTTCACTTTTGTCGAGCTCTTAACCCGATGTTGTCCACCGTTTTATCTTCTCTGAACGAGGATTTCGATTCCGCGCAGACGTGGAAAGGACTTGCGCCTTCCACAACGAATTTCTCTTGCCGCCTGTGAAGGGTACTTTTTCAGGCGCGCAGACGTTGTGCGGGAAAGCGCACGCACGTACATAGCCCTTTCGAGAATGTTTCTGGGACAGAGACAGAGAGAGGGAATAATAAACACATGTAAATAACAGAGGATATATAATTTTTAACAATTTAATTCGTAACCTTCGGGGTTTTATTCCGCTGGAAAGTGGCGTCTCGCTCGTTATTCATCATGCGCTACTTTCCGCGCACAACACGAAACCATTGTCCGGTAGTGCAACATCTTTGTCCGTACTACTATATCTGAAGCGTAGTAGCCTGCGTTTCGTTTTAATCATTCCTACCTATCACTATAAAAAATTAATTAGGAAAAGCAAGGGATACTGCTGTGGACACAAATTAACAGCTTTTAAATTAACACAACAAAACAATCCACGTATTAATTATTGCAATAACAATTATTAAAAAAAAAGGTCTCATCCTTGGTTCTGGTTGACAGGGCAGCTCTGACGGTGATCATCTCGTCCGGTCTGATGTTCAAACAAAGCTCTTTGCATTCAGTTCAACACCTTGACAAGCTTCTGGATCCGGGGACTCCACGTCGCATTTCCCACCAGGACGATGTTGTCGACCTTCATCTTGTCCGTATTGGAGTTTTCTAGCGCCCTTTAGATCGTTCCCCGGGTGGTCTTAGGCATTTTCTTAATGTTTACGTGCTGCTCCTCGAAACGGGAACAAGTGACATTTGTGTAGAAGTGGTCACTATTGAAGAGAGCATCGATCTCGATGCTAGTTTTTCACGAGAGTAGACACAAATTAGAACATAGCGGCCATTTTTTTTAATATGGGTTGTTTATTTACACGGAAATGAAATCATGTATTTAAATAAAATTTAGAAATCAAGCCTGGGATTTGAGTTAGCGCCTAATTGTTTTTTTTTATTCTGTCTTCTTTGTACCGGTCAAGCGGCTTTTGCGATTTAGTCTTACATATTGAACACAGGTACACGCTAAAAAATAATCACCCTTTACAAAAAGTCGAATGCCCTATACACTTAACTGTCAAGTAATTCAAATATATGAAACTTGGAAGGGGTGTCGCCTCAGCTTGAGCCCAAGAGCCATTCTATGATTTACGCCGATGCTTCATCATGATCAAGCATCACCCTCAAAAACTGTTAGCCCTGCACGATACATTTGGGCTGCTTTTTGAATTTTCCCGCTGGCAGCAGGTTACCTCTTCGTCAACTTTAGTTTCTTCTCACTTATATCATATTTATTGCATAAACCACATAAAAGTTTTTATATTTATTGTCTGCTGTCACTAATAACCGTGACACAGTGCTTTCAAAACACGCTTAATTAACCCCAGGAGACAATTTTTAAAACTAACCTCGTTAGCGACGACAGCGACAGTGTTTTGTGGCGGCGGGTAGTGTTACTAAGAAGCTAAGCCGCTGATTTTGACTATAGTGAAAGAAGAAGATTCATTTCGCACAGCCGTTCTGCGCTCTCTAGCATGTCGCAATGTTTGAATTTAGACTTCCCCGTGATTAAGCGTGATTTGCTACGCTCTCGGCGCGATTGCGCTCTGCGAGGACTGCGACAGAGCGCAAAGTGGGCGTCCGAGCTCGCGTACGCCCTGCGTGATGTCGAGGCGAGTCCGCCGGACCAGGCGGCGTCCGACCACGACGACGACTTGGACGACTCGTACTTCCTCGCCAAGAGCTACCTGGACCTCCAGGAGTACGACCGCGTCGCGTACTTCACCAAGAACGCCAGTGGGACGACGCGGTTTCTCCACTACTACGCCAGGTACCTCTCGGACGAGAAAAAGCGACTGGACGACACCGTCGAGCCGATCACGGCTACGGACCGCGGGGCGAGCCAGGAGCTCAAAGACCTGCAGGTGTGTACTCGTTTTTCGTCGTTGCGACGTGCTAACTTGCCGCATTCGTGTCAACGGCGCTTGCGTCTGTTAGTGCGTTGTACCGGTGTCAGACTGTGCACCGATGATCGTTGTTGGTGTATTATGGTTTATTTAGCCTTATTACTCGTGGGTTGTTCGTCTTGTGTCAGTGTAAGACTCATTCGGCGTATGACAAATTGTGTTCTGATGCTGTGCTAGCAGCTGTGATAGACTGCTGCCTGCTGGCAGCGATAGATCATGGCAAAGATAGATATGTGGGGTTTAACGTCCTAAAACCACCATGATTATAAGAGATGCCGTAGTGGAGGGCTCCGGAAATTTCGACCACCTGGGATTCTTTGACGTTCACCTAAATCTGAGCACACCGGTCTACAGCATTTTCGCCTCCATCGTAGATAATAATAAAGCAGCTGACAGTATGACCTAAAGCGAGTTTTTGGACTGCCAACATGAGTTTATCTGTTTGTGGCCTCTCGCTGTCTTAATTAAAAGGTTATTTGAAAATATACACCTGAGCTTATTCTTCATTGCTGGATGCAATCTGGAAGTGTTCAAGAGACGCTGTTCTCCGATGTGTTCCAAAACACAGCATCTTGGAAAAGGTATTCTGTAGACTGAATGAAACCATTTAAGTCCGTGGCTGTGTTCTTCTTGGTTCATGACTACTGGTTTATGGGGTTCAGCGTCCCAAAGTAGCCCGGGCAATAGGAGACGTCATAGTAGAGGTCTTCAGAAACTTTGTTAATGTGTGGTTGTTAAGCGTGAATTGAAATCTGACTGCTGCGGCAGGGATCAAGTCCATTTGAACCAGCAAATTCTGAACTTTCATTCACGTCAGAAATGTAGCATAAAGAAATATATGAACATGTGCTGTAGGTTAGAAAATGATTTCACTGTAGTGTGTATCATACATTTTCTACAGAAGCATGGAAAGTTCAATGGCACTGCTGTCGAATCGTAAAAATGACTTTGGGACTGTCGTTGTGTTATATGTGCATTTGCCTTGGTTTCACGAAGAATATGAGAGAAGAAAATAAACTACCAAAAAGTGGCTGATCCTAATGTAAAGTTAACTGTCCATTAACAAAGCTCCTTTTCTAACTGGCCACATAGTGCCGGCTGTGAAATGAATGCGCTGGTGGCGCTTCCTTAACTCTGTCTCTCCCATCACGTTCGACTACTTCTTGATGCTGCTGCCAATAATAATAGTCGTTCGTTCTACTCCCGGACGGTGCTACTGCAATATTACGGACTCAAGATGCTACAACTTTCATGAATGTAGATTGATGTGCTCTTCATATTACCCGCGTTGTCCTTGAAAGCATGACACGGTGCAGATTGGTGACCTAAAGTTGGAAGGGAAGCAAGAAAGGCTCTTCTTTCATACCTGTCCTTGTCTAGCTTTGCTGTTCTGTTCTTCACGTAGCAAGTGATCTTACTACGGGCTCGTCAGCTATTAGCTCGTAATAAGATCACATGCTACGCGATGTCTACAGGCAGAAAAAGACTCTTCCGCACTCACCTCCATGGTTACCGGAGGCACTAATTAATGCTCCTGCGTTCAATGCACATGTCATCATCATCAGCCTGACTACGTCCACTGCAGGACAAAGGCCTCTTCCATGTTCCGTCAGTTAACCCGGTCCTGTGCTTGCTGCTGCCAATTTATACCCGCAAACTTCTTAATCTCATCGGCCCACCTAACCTTCTGTCTCCCCCTAACCCGCTTCCCTTCTCTGGGAATCCAGTTTGTTACCCTTAATGATCAGCGGTTATCCTGTCTACGCGCTACATGGCCGGCCCATGTCCATTTCCTCTTCTTTATTTCAACTATGATATCCTTAACCCCCTTTTGTCCCCTAATCCACTCTGCTCTCTTCTTGTCTCTTAAGGTTACGCCTACCATTTTTCTTTCCATTGCTCGCTGTGTCGTCCTCAATTTAAGCTGAACCATCTTTGTAAGTCTCCAGGTTTTCGCTCCATAGCTAAGTACCGGCAAGATACAGCTGTTATATACCTTCCTCTTGAGGGATAGTGGCAATCTACCTGTCATAATTTGAGAGTGCTTGCCGAATGTGCTCCACCCCATTCTTATTCTTCTAGTTACTTCAATCTTGTGGTTTGGCTCTGCGGTTATTACCTGCCCTAAGTAGACATAGTCTTTTACAACTTCAAGTGCACTATTACCTATCTCGAAGCGCTGCTCCTTTCCGAGGTCGTTGTACATTACTTTCGTTTTCTGCAGATTAATTTTAAGACCCACCATTCTGCTCTCCCTGTCTAACTCCGTAATCATGAGTTGCAATTCGTCCCCTGAGTTACTCAGCAATGCAATGTCATCGGCGAAGCGCAGGTTACTAAGGTATTCTCCATTAACTCTTATTTCTAACTGTTCCCATTCTAGGCTTCTGAAAGCCTCCTGTAAGCACGCGGTAAATAGCATTGGGGAGGTTGTGTCCGCCTGCCTTACACCCTTCTTGATTGGTATTCTGTTGCTTTCTTTATGAAGCACTATGGTAGCAGTTGATCCCCTGTAGATTTCTTCCAGAATGTTTATATATACTTCATCTACGCCCTGATTCCGCAGTGTCTGCATGACGGCTGTTATTTCTACTGAATCAAACGCCTTCTCGTAATCTATGAAGGCTATGTATAGGGGTTGGTTATACTCTGAGCATTTTTCTATTACCTGACTGATAGTATGAATGTGGTCAATTGTTGAGTAGCCTGTTCGAAACCCTGCTTGTTCCTTTGGTTGATTTAATTCTAATGTTTTCTTTACTCTGTTAGTAATTACCTTTGTAAATAGCTTGTATACTACAAAGAGCAAGCTGATCGGCCTGTAATTCTTCAAGTCTTTGTCATCTCCTTTCTTATGTATTAAGATGATGTTAGCGTTCTTTCAAGACTCTGGTACTCTTCCCGTCGGGAGACACCTCGTAAACAGGGTGGCTAGTTTTTCTAACACAATCTGTCCTCCCTCTTTCAGCAGATCTGATGTTACCTCATCCTCACCAGCAGCTTTGCCTCTTTGCATGCTCTCCAAAGCTTTTCTGACTTCTTCTATTATTACTGGTGGGGTGTCATCTGGGTTACTGCTAGTTCTTATAGTATTAAGGTCGTGGTTGTCTCGGCTACTGCAAAGATCTCTATAAAACTCCTCCGCTATTTTAACTATCCTATCCATATTGGTAGTTATTTTGCCTTCTTTGTCCCTTAGTGCATACATCCGACTTTGCCTATCCCAAGTTTTCTCTTCACTGCTTTGACGCTTCCTCCGTTTTTCAGAGCGTGTTCAATTCTCTCCTTGTTATACCTTCTTACATCGCATACCTTACGTCTATTAATCAACTTCGAAAGCTCTGCCAGTTCTATTTTGTCTGTTGTACTTGACACTTTCATGATTTGACGCTTCTTATCTAGGTTCTTTGTTTCCTGGGAAAGCTTGCCAGTGTCCTGTCTAACTACCCTGCCTCCAACTTCCACTGCACACTCCGTAATAATACTCGTCAGATTATCATTCATTGTATCTACGCTAAGGTTGGTTTTCTCACTAAGAGCCGAGTACCTGTTCTGCAGCGACACTCTGAATTCCTGTACTTTCCCTCTCAGTGCTAGCTCAATGCACATGTATATCTCATAAAATGGACGTGGAGATAGCCGTCATAGTAGCTAAGTTGGTGGAGCATCGGATGCATTATTCGAATATTGGTTCCCGCGCATGGCTACTTATCCTTTCGTACTTTTCTTTCTTCACATTTACATTACAGTTACTTGTAATGACATCCGCTATACATTCCTTGCCATCGTTGTCTTAGATCTCGGGAGAAATAGATATTAAATTACAATTTTCTTCAGATGAATTACTATACGTCATGCAAACCAATGTATTATAACATTAGTTTATATTTTATCAATAAAATATTGAGTGTCTTGAAGTAACGTTAAGTCGCGTGTTTGATTTTGGCTGCAGAAGTTGCGTTTATATGGGGATAAAACGCTAGAGACCCTTGTATTGTGCGACATCAGTGCACGTTAAAGAACACCAGATGGTCACAATTTCTAGAGCCTTCCACTAAGGCATGCCTCATAATAACATTGTGTTTTAGCATATACAACCCTAATAATTATCATAATTGAAGTAATGTTTTAGTTGGACACATTTACAGACAGTTCTTCATTCGTGGTGTCTTAAAGGGTTTGACATCATCGAGGGTGTTTTGGGCTTCTTCTCTTTGCTTCTTGCCCACAGGCTGAGTTGAGGGCCCTGCGGCCCAAGCTGGACGGCTTCTGCCTCTACATCTATGGCGTGGTCCTCAAGCGGCTCCAGCTGCGGCAGCAAGCTATCGACGTCTTCGTCGAGGCTGTGCAAGCCGAGCCCCTGCACTGGGGTGCCTGGCTGGAGCTGTCCTCAATGGTGGCTGACTGCGACCACCTGCGAAGCCTCGTTCTGCCCGACCATTGGATGAAGCAGTTCTTCCTCGGCCACACCTACCTCGAGTTGCAGCTCAGTGAGGAGGTGCTTGAGACATACGAGCAGCTGCAGAAGGGACCCTTCCTTGAGAGCACGTACCTTATGGCACAGGTTAGTACCTCAGGTCAGCATCTCCTGGTGCAGGTCAGCACCTCATGGTACTTAGGTCAGTACCTCAGGTCAGCACTTCATGGCATAGGTCAGCACAAGGAGCGGCAGTTAGCTTCAAAGGCATACTGACACAACTTTGAGACGTCTCGACTTCATGGCATAGGTCAGCACAAGGAGCGGCAGTTAGCTTCAAAGGCATACTGACACAATTTTGAGATGTCTCGAAAGGAACGCTTTTCATTTTCCTCAGTGTGCAGTGTCACTGCTTTCCACGCACCGTATTAAGAAAATGTGTATAAAACATTTTGCTTTCATATTAAAGTTCTTGTCGCTGAGCCTCAGCAAGCCAGCCCCATTGCTATAGACATTAGTTCACTGAGCCAACACAGTACCACTGAGCTTGCGAACTCTTCGCCTTGAATGCAGCTTAACGGCAGAAGTGACTGTCGGGGGTCACTGGATGACAAATCACTCATCGTTGTTTACATACAGCACGAGCACATGACAGATCTGCCGGTAGTACGTGGCAAATGGCTGTCTCCCCACTGCATCACACTGCAATGACACATCACGTAAGAGCCGCCCCCACAATGGTGAAAGTATTTTTTCAAGGTAGTGGTATAAAATATAGTGGACGTATTCCCAGTCACTACAGTGCTCTTTTCAGGGTTTTCTATGTTAGTGCTTTTATTTAGCATAACAATCAGAAAATATTTAAAATTCGTTTCAGTACTCTCTCAGGCTCAGGTTTGAAATGCTTTGAAGGGGCCCTGAAACACTTTTTTGAGTAAACGTGTAATTAATACACTGGAAAAGCCTATTTCCTCTCAGATTCAATGCCGCAAAAATTTTAAGAATCCGTCCAGTACGAGCAGAGTTACAAATATTTGTCACATTTGCAATCGCATTCTCTTTTCTCTAATCTCGACGAAAGCGCTGGAAGCTAAGCAGAGAGGGATGGGAGGGGCAATCAAAAAACGTCACGCTCGCCTTGTGACCTTGAGCACTTTTTTCTTTTTCATCGAATACGTGGCTTTTTCACTGCGATCGCGCGTGCATGTGTGGACAAGTGAGAACTGAGTGCGCCATGTTGAAATCAGCCAATGGCTGATAGATGGGTCATATATGTTTGACTTTTAGGCATATTCCGTGATTTGTCGAGGGAAGAGAAAGTAATATTTAGCTGACTTTGACAATTTGTTGCGAATTCCAGGTCGCGTGCTGCGCTATTACATTTGGCTCGCGTGTTCTTGGAAGCCTCTACTACCGATGGGCAGCATTTTCTGACCATGCTCAAAAAGTGTTGCAGGGCCCCTTTAAGGGGATAGTGAATAGAAAAACGATTTCCATGATATTACTAGGAGAGGCACTGCTCTTAAAAAAGTTTTTATTTCTTGATTGAATTTTATTAAACTTGGTGAGCTTATGCATATATGTGTGCTGTCATTAAATAACCAAATATTTTTCTTGTACAAGGTGTAGTTTCTAAAATACAGGATATTTCGTGTGCCTTTTGGGGAGCAAGATTTTTTTTAAACTGAGAGAGCTACCAAGTAAGTGTACATATCACACTAATCTCGAATCAGGACTGTGTGCAGTGCAACAAAAATGGATGTTCTAAATCAATTTGAACAAAAGTTATGCTATGTTGAACATTTGTGTGCAAGTCAATTTCAAGCTAGAATTTCACTGGCAGCTGTTCAACATTCCATAACTTCTCTTCTAGTTGGTTTAGAACATTCATTTTTTGTTGCACTGCAATCTTTTTTGATTCCAGATTAGTTTGATATGCTTATTTACTTCATAATATCCTTAGTTTAGACAAAAGCTTACTCTCCAAGAGGCACAGTAAATATTAATTATTTTAAAAACTGCACTAAACACAAGAAAAAAATAATTCCACATTTGAAATCATCACACATATATACATACACTTGCCATGTTTCATAATTGATCAAGAAACAAAAAGTTTTTTCAAGTGCCATGTCTCCCCTTAAGTTGCCTTTCCAAAGTACCAAAAGTACCACTTTTATCCCAAGAAAAGGCATATGGTGACATTGATTTGAAGTTTGCACACTGGTGTCACAAGTTTCAACCACATGAGGTAGGGCCTGCATAATCCTTGACAAATGAAAATTAGAGGTGTGCACAGAGGAAAATTTTAGCTGTGAAGTGAACTTGAATAGGAAAGTGTGATTGAACATTTTTTGAATATTCCTAGAATATTTGAAACTGTGTAGCAAAACGGAAGAAAGAAAAACCGGAGAGGATGCCTCAGCATATTTTTATGAAATAGCAACATTGAATTGTGGTGTTTCATAGTTGTCTTAATTAGCTAGAGTGAGGCAATAAAGAGGTAGATTTGTATTTATTTACGTGTCTTGGTACAACTATTTGTTGCCGAAAACACTCAACAGGCAAAAGGCTAAGACGCTATGCCTTCAGCCATTTCCTAACTCTTTTGAACTTCTGTGGAAGCCCAACTCACGTGGTGGACAAGAGTGCGCTCCCTTTCCAAATCTGCCATTTGGACATCCGTGTATACGACTGTCTGAAATTTTGGACGATAAAAAAATCCTGTGCAGATTTCCAGTTCAAAACGGCATTAATTGAGCCCCCCTACCTCTCTGCCTCTTATATCATCTCCACGTTGGAACGAGTGTTTTTTTTGAGTGAATAGATTTGCGGCCGTGGTAGAGCTTGAAAGATAACCTTGCTGTAGTTTCGAGAGGGAGACGGGGCGACACATATTGAAAATCAGATGGGGTCACTTTGAACGTTAAGTGTATTTGTCCTCAGGAAGTTTGAATAGTGAAATTCTGGTGCAAATCGAATAGCAAACACTATTAAAAAAATTTGGCAGATCCTGCATACCTTGGAAATATACGTTATGTGAAGCATTTGTAGGGAAGGTGACCGCATTGTAATTTTTTTATTGAGGGACACTTCATGAAATGATGCTAAATATATGTATAAATGTTGCACACATAGACATATGTTGAACAGTTGCAGATGCTTACATAACAAGTTGTTTGCACTTGCACAACGATGCCAACAGGAACACGAGTATGAGCAACACCAGAAGCAACAAGCTGATATGAAGTGCTGGTGCTCTAGAAGATGATAGCCCTGGACACTGCTACATAAATCAACTTCAGCAAATGATACCTAACTAGAACTGACGTTAGCCCAACACGACGGCTGTATGATAGAAGTAGATATGTAATGTTTATAAAATTGAATTGCCCCCCCCCCCCATTTTGTTTTACATTTCACAAACATTGCGATCTATTTGAAAAGTAGTTCCTCGACCTGGCTTGGCTCTTTGGTAGAATACTTTATTTACACGCAGAATGCTGGGGTTCGATTCCTGCTGAGACCCTGTTATTTATTGTATGTGTTCATTGGGTCAACCCTGCTGATGTCAGCTTTTTCTTAACGCTCATCTGTTGAAATTACCAAGGTGTGTTCTCGCCTTCCCAGGGAGTTACTAAGTTTCAGTCACCTGTGGCACACACGTGCATACCAGTGGCACACGCGCGCCCACAGGTATGAGTCGCTGTTTAAGGGGAAGTGTTTGACGATGGACGTGATGGGATTGTCACATTATTCAAGTTTTGACTAGCGCTTTATATTCGTCAAACCATCTTGCCCTCCCATATTAATTTGGGTTGCATGCCAAGTTAAGGGGGTGATCACGAGAGCACCCAGTCGTAAGCAGCTAGACAGACAGATGGACGGGCGGATGCCAAAAGTGCTTGCAGTACGTAAAGAAATGCTTTGCATTTAATATTCAAAAATTTATTATTTGCACACCCCTAGTAAACAATAAAAATGGATTACAATGTCTTCAGAGGGAGCTAGCAACTTCAACATCAAAAATGAGAGAATTCTCTTGAGCTAATGCAGCCAAAGTATGTAAAATGGTTGACCAAGTTCATGCTGACATGCCGGTGCTTTGGATGATGAAGGCAATAGAATAGAAAGCTGGACTAGTTGAAATGCTTGCATGGTTGATGCATGGTAGAGACGATTACAAAAGGAACATGCAGCGCTGGTCCTGTGCCTTCCGTGTTTCTTTCACGGAACACAGAGTGCACAGAATGAGCGCGTGCTGTGCAATGAATCCTGCCAGCAGCTATCCAGCCGTACTCCGAAAACGGGCCACGTGTTTAAGGTTGCACTTGAATCTCTGAAGCCTTATATTACTCCTATGCGCATTTCTTCATGTTTGAATATAGGAAAATAAGGCAGTGGACATGCTGTAGTCTAGTCTTTTTGCAACAATGTAACTTGTGAGTAGGCATCCCCATCACTAGCCTACTGTAAAAATAGGCACAGGAATCGGCTAAACCCAGCAGTGGACATATGGCTGGCCCCGAGTGTTCCTGAGCCTTGCGCCGATTCGCTAATGCAAGGAAAGCAAGTGTAGCTGCATTTCAGTGGATCAGTTTTTCATGTACGCTTATTTTAAAGTTTATTGCACGTGAATGTGAATGTAGAGAGAATCGAATGAAAAATGCTTGCATAAAAGCGAGGAGAGATGGCGTTCCGTGGCACTTAACAGAGCCTAGCAGGGTTCCCTGAGGCCAACATGCTTGACAACCCCTGCTTTAAGAAAATACTACGTCTGTGACCTACAGCACTCGGGAGGTTCAGTTTACGCACTTTCAGTGGTCACCACGAACTATGCTCGAATTGAACAGAAAATTATTGATGTGGTGGACATCGTAGGCATTCGGGGCATTTTGCTTCCTCGACACATCAGTGGCACTGATGTTGTTCCGCCATGTTCTTATTTTGACATCAAACCACTTTGCAGCTCAGCATCATCTTGGCAGTCCTAGCAGCCTCCAAACAAACGAATGATCTTAGTGATAGCGATGAACTAGAGTCCTTATTTGGGCCGGTTGGTGCATATTCAAGGAAACAGAAAACAGCGCGAAAGAAGGGGCAGTAACACAGACAGACCCGGGTTGTAAGTCAGCTCTTGGTTTGTGTGTCATTGTCGCATGTCTTGCGCTGTTTCCTGTTTCATCAAATAACGATGCTTTGCCTGCTGCGTAACCTGATGAGGTCAAACCTGATGCCTTGCCCCCCGGCGTAATTGCTGCTGTCCATTACGGTAGATAGACATTGAAAACCAGTGAGAATTATGCCTTACATCTAGGAATTTTCAACTGTTATCACCACCACGAAGTAGTCATTGTCTGGTGGTGCTCACACTCGAAACCTGTAATTCGACAAGCATGCTACTTCCCCTTCCGCACTTACATTCCGAATCCCCCAACACCACCCAAACCACTCTCTTTTTTATTTTTGCTTACTGCTTTCTCTTTCCTTTTGACTCACCGATTTCGCCACACCACCCCCTTCTCCGACCCCCTTTGCGCACTTCTTCTTTCCTCCTCTATTTAAACTGGAGGAGAAGGTAGAAGCATGAAAATGCATGCTCTAAGATAGGCCATTGCAGCCTTGAAAGAGACAAGTCTGCTTGTTGGAACATTGACTCCAGTGACAGCACCGCATTCAAAGTGTTTTCAATCCCTTCAAGCTACCATATTTCCCCTGAACTTCTACCTTATTTAGATTTCACTGCAAGAGTAACATTGTGGCATTTGTGCACTTTTGATGGCGCAGGTCGCCATCGCCTACCACAACATGCGGGTAGTCGACAAGGCCATCGAGTGCTTCCAGAAGCTGCGCAAGGTTGACCCGTACCGGCTGGACAACATGGACATCTATTCCAACCTGCTCTACGTCAAGGAGCTGCGTGTTGAGCTGAGCCACCTGGCCCATAGCGTGTGCGCCATTGACAAGTACAGGCCCGAGACATGCTGCGTCATCGGCAACTTCTACTCGCTCCGCTCGCAGCACGAGAAGGCCGTCCTCTACTTCGGCCGCGCGCTGCGGCTCAACCCGAACTACTTCGCGGCGTGGACTCTCATGGGCCACGAGTACATGGAGATGAAGAACACCAATGCCGCCATCCAGTCGTACCGGCAGGCCATCGAGGTGAACCGCCGGGACTTTCGGGCCTGGTACGGTCTGGGCCAGACCTACGAGATACTCAAGATGCCGAACTACTGCCTCTACTATTACAGGTCAGTTCAGTGTTCTCTTTCATGCCCCGTGATGTCATGGTGTCTTACAACGGCGTCATCATGTAACATTGTCCCTTAGTCAAGGGTAGAGTTGTGCACCCGCCACAGCCCATTCTTGGTCACGCCGTTCACGTTGCCGCCGAAAACCTGCGAAGGACCACGCCGCCGCTGCGCTACTATTATTCTTATTTTATTCGAGCGAGAAACATGGCCATAAAATACATCACCTCACCTTTTTTTCCGCAGGTTTGATACTTTGAAAGCAGCGTTTACGGTGTCTTGCCTACTCCCTTGTGTCTGTGTTTGCATGCCGTGGCAACATTAGGGCCTTAAACGATCTTTTGATGACACACAATTGAGCAGGTTCTTCTTTCTTGGCAGTTTCCTCCCCCTTTTTTGCACTCTTAGTGATGTCAAAATGGCGAATTCACTGTGGCATCATTAGGGCACATGCTCTCGAAAGGTCCATAAACAAAAAGTAAAGGTTTTGAATTGTCTCGAACTCTGTTTTGCCATGCCTTCGCCCCCCATACGTCCCCATTTCACATAACATTGAAATGAGAGCCACTGGTGGTAAGGAGGCAGAAACTGTGTCTTAAGTTTTTTCATTGTATTTATTACAATGGAAATGCCATTCAGCCCTCTTGATTATCTGTTTGCACCAACTAACGTCTCAAATCGATGAGACCATTCACGAAAAATACTGAAATACCCCTACAAAACCCACTTTTTTGGTAGTTCTTTTTTTGTAAAAACATTACAGGTGTGGAACTGTCTATCGTATGATATATTCAATGAAACTTATTATGAATCCTTTTTTTCTTCCTTGTAACAACGCCTACAATATCACTGCCACTAAGAATGTTTTGTTGTCTCGAAGCGTGTGGGTGTTTACAAATGCATGACTGTGACGTTGTTTGCAATTTGTGACGCTCACCATTATTGGAGTGTTTTTTTTAATATTTTGAGTGTTGTTGTATTTGTTGTATCCATTGTATAGATTGCAAACTATGTAGTGAAATTACTCATGTGTACCTCCCCTATGAAATGCCTTACGGCGATGTAGGTGAAATGTAAATAAATAAACTGGAGTACCCGATGAATTTGTGATTTCGCTGCATTTTGAGAGTTTTCGATTGCACAAGCGGAAATGACAAGAGTCTATAGCCTACAAGCTGGAAATCTACAGCCTGCTATGCCAATATGATGTTAATTTCCTACTTTTAACCTATCAAACATGGGTGCATGTTTTATTTGGAGATGTATTCAAATGGGGCAACTGTGAAATGACTTTCGATATCTTGTCTGTCTCTTGCATTATTCGATCTGTCGGATAATCTAACCAGTTTTGTTAGTCTTGTAGCAGTAAAATTTAGGACGTGTGCAGTGAGCCATATAAACAAAAATGATTGGTGGAACCTTCAGGGACAGGAAGAAAATAAACTGGATCAGGGAACAATCTAGCGCGGGGGAGTAGTAGTTAGGGTGCTCGGCTGCTGGCCTGATGGTCACGGGGTCGATCCTCGCCACGGCGGTCGCATTTTGAATGAAGGGCGAATGGTAGAGGCTCACGTAATGTGCGACATCAGTGCACATTAACAAACACCAGATGGTCAAAATTTTCACAGCGCTCCACTAACGGCATCTCTCATAATCATATGGTAACCTTAGCATGTAAAACTCCAGATATTATTATTAGGTCAGGGAACAAACGGGTGTTACGAACATCTAACTCAAAATCAGAAAGAAGAGTTGGGCATGGGCAGAGCATGTAGCATGAAATCATGAGAACCACTGGTTATTGAAAGTAACATGCATTTCAAGTGAAAGCAAGCACGCGAGCAGCAAGCAGAAAGTTGAGTGGGAAGATAAGGTTATGAAGCCTGCGAAAGAAAACAAGGCGTCAGCAAGCACAGGACCGCATTGATTGGTGAAACATGGAAGAGCCCTTCGCCTTCTGTTTGGCATAGCCAGACTGATGTTGATAGATGTCAAGTTAGTGGATGTCGACTGTATACTGTACACTCAAACTTCAATATAAGAAACCCGGATATAACAAAATATCCGTTATAACGAAGTAAATGAATATTATTTCAGTATAGACAGTGTCAGGAATATACCTTTATAACAAATTTTTGGTTTTAATGGACTTACTTTCATGTAATACCCTTGTCACACAGGTAAGCTTTACCACTGTCATACTCAACTGCATTTAGCGGACGTAACTGCAGTTACCGTAAACCACACAAAGGCGCTGTCACACGCTTGTAGCACGGACCAACTTGTATGCATATAACAAACATAGCTTTAACTTTAGTCAATGATGACGTTGAAAATGCATAGTGCCATTAGCAGCAAATGATTGCATAAGTTCAAGAACAGCACCATTCTGCGCAAAAACGATTTGTTTCCGACCCGTAGCTTTGCGTTTGAAACGACCCGGTAGCAACCAAGCTGCGTAGCCGCACGTCGTGGTACGTGTCTCGTTGTCAAGACTCATTAAAGTAGCAAGTCTTCCGTGGCAGTGCTTATACACATAACTTGTACACACACTTTATCTTCCAAAATGCGTATCAACATCTGCATCATCTCAACAGTCCAGTTGACTTGCTTCTGGCTGGATAATTCACTGGGAGCCTAGTGGCTCCTGTTCGACGAGGGGGTCGCCATGTTGTCAGTTTACGACGCTAACAGAGCTTGCCTACCTCCATATTCAGAAACGTAGCAGAATAACTACAGTTATGTTTGTCGTGTGACTAGGTACAACAGCCATTGGATTTAATAGCCGTTGTACTTAACTGTGGCTAGACTACCCGTGTGACAGGGTTATAAGGTGCAACTTTGCTATAAGGAGGAGGTTTGACTGTGTACGGGCAACATGCAGGCAAGCACAGGAGCTGCGGCCCAATGACTCGCGCATGATGGTGGCACTGGGCGAGGCGTACGAAAAGCTGGACAAGCACCACGAGGCCAAGAAGTGCTTCTGGCGGGCCCACTCTCTCGGTGACTTTGAGGGGCTCGCCCTGTTCAGGCTGGCGCGTGTCTATGAGTGCCTCGGCGAGTGTGAACAGGTGGGGTTCACTTTTGCGTTGTCATCGTACGGTTGCATGTTACTGTTCATCTCATTCTGTAAAAGCTTTGAAATGCATTCATTCAAGCGTTCCAAGGTGTATCAGGGGGCAGTGGTAACGCAACATGTATGAAAATAACCTTGGAATGGCCGCAGATGAACACTGCAAAAACATTTTGTCTCAAGCTATTTGACTTTATATGCGAGAATGAAACTGGGATTATGGCATCTCTATATTTGCATGTCCCGGATTATGTGTCATCCTGAAGTGATCATGAGTGTCAAGATGAAGAGTATCTACCAGGGACAGACCTTCCTAAATCTTTCTTTTTGTTGGTTTTATGGGAGTGGGACCTGTTGTTGTGCGAGGCTGCAAACCAAAAGACTGATTTGCTTTAGTGCGAGCACAATAATGCCGTTGATGCTGCCAATCTTGTGTGACTAAAGAAAAGATAGAGACCTCTCTTTTGCGACTCTTCTCAGGCCTGCGCAGCATTCACCGACTACGTACGGCAGTGCGAGAGCCAGTGCTACCGGGCAGACCGCGAGGACCTGGCTCACGCCTGCCGCTTCCTGGCCAGGCACCACCTGGCCCAGAAGGACCTGGATGCGGCGTATGAGTACGCGCACAAGTGCACCGATTTTCCTGAGACCAAGGAGGAAGCGCAGGGCCTGCTCAAGCAGATGACGGACGCCCGGGTGCTCCTTGAACAGGGCTTGGCAGGCGGGGACATGCATATCGAGGAGGACGAAGAGGACGACGAGTCGCTCCTCACCGGTCGAGACTTGCTTGTCTGCGAGGTCACGGACATTGGGGACTTCAGGACTCCGAACAAGTGATCGCTGTTGTGTAGATGAAAACTGAGGCAGCGGCTAGTCCGGTGACATGTGCGTCTTTACACAGCGCTTGTGTTTCATCATTTTTCTTATTCTTGCGTTTTGTTAATTCTTTCACACGCTGTGTAAAGCTCGCAGATGGGACCCGGGAAATGGGATGTGTGATTTGAGGATTAAGGGGGCGACGAGAATTACTCGATGTGCCACTTGGACAAGACTTCGTCACCTGCGACATCGCGGATGCGAGGAAGGCTCGTAATGCTTCGAGGAGTCGTTACTGTCGTAAATCGCTGACGCCTATCAATTGTCTGGTACAAGAAGCACGCGCGTGCACGGTCGTGCGTTATCAAGCGATGTTTTGATGAGACAACGCGGCAACGATTAAGCTTCGTTCCTGCACACGAGGTCCCGCATAGTGAACGTGTGGTAGTGCAGCACGTTACGGCGGCATAAGAAAAGCGTGCAATACGTTTACAAGAACGTCAACTTTGCTGCTGATTGTTGAACGTCGCTGGCCGACATAGTGCCTCCGTGCACTTCTGACGCTAGTCGCCCCTCTGGGCAACGTTTTGCTATCTCTGAACCCAGCGGAAATATTAAAGAAGAATTATTTTCCGCATGATAATCCAATCAAATATTCGATATTGTCGAATATTCGAAGTGATTCGAATATTCAAACTTTTCGAATACACTTTTTTCGAATCGAATACGAATAGTGTGAATTTATTAGCGTTCCAAGGTGTATCAGGGGGCAGTGGTAACGCAACATGTATGAAAATAACCTTGGAATGGCCGCAGATGAACACTGCAAAAACATTTTGTCTCAAGCTATTTGACTTTATATGCGAAAATGAAACTGGGATTATGGCATCTCTATATTTGCATGTCCCGGATTATGTGTCATCCTGAAGTGATCATGAGTGTCAAGATGAAGAGTATCTACCAGGGACAGACCTTCCTAAATCTTTCTTTTTGTTGGTTTTATGGGACTGGGACCTATTGTTGTGCGAGGTTGCAAACCAAAAGACTGATTTGCTTTAGTGCGAGCACAATAATGCCGTTGATGCTGCGAATCTTGTGTGACTAAAGAAAAGATAGAGAACCTCTCTTTTGCGACTCTTCTCAGGCCTGCGCAGCATTCACCGACTACGTACGGCAGTGCGAGAGCCAGTGCTACCGGGCAGACCGCGAGGACCTGGCTCACGCCTGCCGCTTCCTGGCCAGGCACCACCTGGCCCAGAAGGACCTAGGATGCGGCGTATGAGTACGCGCACAAGTGCACCGAGTTTCCTGAGACCAAGGAGGAAGCGCGGGCCTGCTCAAGCAGATGACGGACGCCCGGGTGCTCCTTGAACAGGGCTTGGCAGGCGGGGACATGCAAATCGAGGAGGACGAAGAGGACGACGAGTCGTCCTCACCGGTCGAGACTGCTTGTCTGCGAGGTCACGGACATTGGGGACTTGCAGGATCTCCGAACAAGTGATCGCTGTTGTGTAGATGAAAACTGAGGCAGCGGCTAGTCCGGTGACATGTGCGTCTTTACACAGCGCTTGTGTTCATCATTTTTCTTATTCTTGCGTTTTGTTAATTCTTTCACACGCTGTGTAAAGCTCGCAGATGGGACCGGGAAATGGGATGTGTGATTTGAGGATTAAGGGGGCGACGAGAATTACTCGATGTGCCACTTGGACAAGACTTCGTCACCTGCGACATCGCGGATGCGAGGATCTTAATGCTTCGAGGAGTCGTTACTGTCGTAAATCACTGACGCCTATTCAATTGTCTGGTACAAGAACGATGGCTGCAGCGGTCGATGCATTGCTGAAACCTGTAATTGACTTAGTGTGACTTAGATTGAAAGGCAGTTTTTTTTCCTTCGATGGGGCTTGTTAATATGTATGACACAATGAAATGGAGAACAATTGCCTTTTCCATCGATGGAATAGCACCGACTGAAAGGGTGATTTTATGCCCACATTTATTTACATTTATACAACAATTAGAATACTGTACACAAATGCAGCAATGTCCTCATTGATTTACATTGACCTAATTGTCTGTTTGATTCATTTGGTTTTGCACTGTGATGACAATTGTGCGGGATTATGGACTGATGAGACATTGTGCATGCGATTTCTCGTTGGAGACGAATCATGCTCTGGAGGGAAGTGCATGCTTTCTTGCGAATTCACTTGTTATTGAGACTTTTCCAACATTCAGGGTTGGATCAGAAAAACTTCTTGGTGGTCATAGTCTGTTATATTCCTATGTGCGAAAATTTGCTCCAGGTCAAATGTGTGTCCGTGTTCTTAGAGTTGCTGCAGAAAGAGAAAGTGATTTGGCCGTGACGTGCTGTTCAGAGAGCCAAACTCGCAAACGGTTAGTTGGGGATTGATGCCTGCGATTGCCACGTAATAATCAATATTATATACACACCAAATTTTAAGGAACTAAGGGAAGCGTGGCAGGCATTGAATCTTTGAGCTCACTGCAGGAAAAAATGAAAAAAAAAATGGTAAAGTACTCATTTTACTGAGATGCTATATATTCACATTCACCAGCTGTTGCTGTGTCGTGTGGGAAGATGGAATTGTGGGTGTCATTACATTCTTGCATGAAGTTTGTCGTATGTGCAATATATAATTGAAGAGCGAGATGATGAAATGGGTAACGATCCAGGCAACTTTTTTATGTTGGAAACATCCGAGACGTTATATCAGGATATATATTATCATTGATCATGATGTTGTTTACCTCATGTTGCAAAGACATTGTTTTTTTTGTGCCATTATGGGTTAAATAACGTGGTTTTGTGCTTACTGTCACTAAAGCCAATTCATCTGTTAGAAAAACTTGTGTTCATCTGTCCACACATTCTGAGACACCGTTCCAATCTTGGCGTCCAACTAGTGTTCCTTTGTTGAGCCACAACTTGACGGTCTGCGGGGACTTACGCTGATGAAGGCACTTCTTGTCAAAATGTTGCCTTCAGCAACATTCCCTTTTCAACCATTTTCGATCGCTGACGAAGGTGGACCGCCAATAATGTGTCCAATTTGGAATCCACAGATAGGGCTTGTTTTACACTTCTGATCTGTTGCTGTTCAGTGGTTATGAGAAGGACACAGAAAAATGCTGAATTCTGCCATAGTTGGTTAGACCTCATGATAATGGAGTTTCATCTGACATGAAAATTGCTTCATTTGCGAGAATTCTTTATGAACGTATGTATTCCTGGGACGGTACGAATGGCCACACCAATTTCTCAGTCGCTTTGTTATAACTGAAGATTAGTTTTATCCTTGTTTGTTATAAGTTCTGAGAAAGATAATTTATTAGAAGGCAGAGAGGCTGGTCTGAGCTATTGCACTCTACTAGCCTGGTACTCGGCAGCGGCACAAAAGGGAAAAAAAATTAGTGACAATGCGAAGGTAAGTGGTATGTATGTATGAAACACGTAGTACTGGTTTTGTAAAAGTCTGGTGTCCGGTTCTATGCCCTAAAAAGCCAATGACTACCTTAGTAGCAGTCGTTCACTTTGTCTCGTCGTACATTGACAACAATATGCTATTTTAACTTAGCCTTGGGAACGCTTTTCCTGTCTGCGATGGAGCCAGCGTTCTTGGTTTAATGTGTAAAGTGGGCAGTCACAAAATAGGTGTAACATTTCGCAAACTTGGCATCATTCACAGCAGCGACTGTCTGCACGGGGAATGGTGTGCGAAGCAGCGAGTGAAAAGGGTGTAGTAAAATGGTGCGGCTTTGATGATTCATCCTGGGCAAAAAGTCATTTCAGGGTTTGTTTCCCACGTACATGTCTGACAGACCAATAAGTTGCTTTACGCTCTCGCATGAGTGATTTCAACGAAGAGTTCACGTCACTTCCCGAGTGCGGCACCACCACATCAATAGGGGAATCATACGCAGGTTGATGTGAAATGGACAGCACTAAATTGTGCATACCTGGTGTAGGTCAAGAATTTCCACTCTGGAACTTGACGAGAAGCACCAGTGCAGATAAGCACATAGCGACTATCACTGAGATGCTGAATTTCTGATCAGTGACGTCTGAATGACAATACTTGTCTAAAGCTTTTTGGTTCTACGTCAACTTGTCCTCGAGGCTGCCTTGGGATGACAAAATCGCGTGTTCGCACGGGCCATGCGATCCCTATTCCTAACAAAGGCTCATCGCAGCAAAACATGCCTGTGTCTGAAACATGGTAGCTTGCAAGTTTTGATTTTACCCACTTTTAATAGCGACACGTTGTTCAAGGCAGCCAATATTTGTGCAGCCAATATTGTGTTTTCTGTCAGGATTATGGCACAGAAATCTGGTAAGTACCACCACTGGTAAACTGGGCAAGAACACCACTGGGCATCCGAACCTCAAAGAGCGTGGCCTTTGATCAGGACTCAGAACTCTAGCCCACACTTTCACGTTCTGTACACATACTCCTTCCCCTTCTTTTAGGACAAAGAGATCCTTAGAAGCGCGGTCAACATTGTAACTTCTTGCCTTATCTTCTCGTTGTCTTTTGTCCTTGTGGTCAAGATCATTAGTGAATGGCCAGTTGGGCCTGAGCTTGATATGAACTGGGATTCGTTTCGATGACAGTGTGCTCGACATTGTCTATGACACTTGTTCGAGCAGTTTGGCACTTGTTCCTGTCGAAATGTTGGTTGGTTGGTTGTTCCTCAGAGTTCTGGCGCAACCCACTACAGGGATCGGCCATGAAATGGACGGCGCCTAATTTGCAAGGTGGAGTTGTTTTACCAGCCGGATTATTTAGATAACGATGTTTAAACAAAGATCCAATTGGTAAACGATAGATTAGAAATAAAATAGAGGTAATGCAAAGAGCGAACAGGCTAATGTTTTACTTATTTATTTTCCGTATACTGTTAGCCTTTTGGCTGTTACAAAGGTGGGACATACTTAGAATGACAAACATCAATACATTCAAATCATACAGCAATTTAAATAGTAACACTTGAACTTGGAAATATTACATGACATACATTGGAAACACCGGCATTGAGGCTAAAGGAAAAACAGTGC